TTTTTAAAACATTGGTCATAACCTACTTTTTGGAAAACGTCCTTCGTGGCTTCGAGGTTGGTGGAAGCCTGTTGTTTACCTTTCCAAATTAAAATGTTTTTACTTTCTTGCTTATACCTTTTATTCGAAAAAGTTTCTATTATAACTCATTGATTAAGAAAGGTAATGGAAACAACACGGAAATTCCAGTTCCTTAATAGTAAGGACGAGACAGAAGAAGCAGACTATCTAGAGGGAAAATGGAAACGATCAAACAAAACGAATGTTTTGGCTGAAAAGTTATTAAGTTAGTTTTAGTTAATATTAGTGACAGAATCAGTCTAGATAACTGAGCTATTAACTGAATTTGAGGGTGGAGAAGGGGGCGGCTGTGGGGTGGGGACGAAGACGGTACATCGGCAGAAGCATTGTGGAACACAGAGTCATCGAACCGAACAGTAAAACTAGGCCCAAATACTTTACCACCTCTCCGGCCCTCACAACATTTCGGAATTCTTTTAAAAGCCTGAGACAAGCAAGAACTGCACTGAAGCTGGCACAAATCAAGAGTGCACTGTACAAGTGCATAAATGGAGTCTGATAGAGGAGCCATTCTCGTCCCTGTTGCAAACTTCCTAAAAGAACCCCCTTCTCTGCCTTGCTTCTCAGGCTTTCCAACAGAATCGTCTGGGCGTCACTGACAGCTTTAACATTCTTAGCTAGACCCCCTTCTCCTAATCGGAAAAAGCCATTAGCACTGTCCCAAAGGCCAAGGATAGATTTATCTGAGTACCGCAACATGCAGTTGCCATAATATTGAACCGCTTTCTTTGTGAGAAAAGTACCTCTAAGCTCATTTGCAGCATTATTGATACATCTAAGGCAATTATCAGGCTTGACATCGATATCGCCTCCCCAAATGGCGATTCCGTTAACTTTGTTAGGGATTTTGCCAGCGGAGACACTGTAGAATGTGAGTTGAAGCAAGATGCACAGCAGAAAAATGAAGAATAAAACAAAGTGCAGAGAAACAGCAAATACAGCAATTTACGTGGTTCACTACCATAATATGTGATAGCTACATCCACGGGAGAAGAAGAACACCAAATCCACTATGAAATCAATGATCTACAAGAGATTTGAATAGCCTAAATCACTTAAACCACACTCCAATAGAAGTCCCCAGTACATCCAAGCCCACTCTACTCCAAAAAACCCCTTGATCCTAAAAGAACCACCTTGTTTTCTCTTATGGTGGTTGCCGATTAACCCTCGTCCCATTTACCCTCAAAAAATCTACTTTATATTCATAGGAGTACAAAAGGATAATATGATAATTCAAAAGAAAGCCCAAAACGCACCGCATCACTAAAGCATGTTGTGAGCTTTTATATACTGCATTTTCTGGAATGATTTTCGGGTATGATACCAGGTTTATGAACCTTCATAACTGGTTTCATAATTTGCTGCCAACTTCAAAAGGCTTTAACATGATTTCAAGGCATACCTCACATAGAACCCATAGTCGTAATTTGAGATAGGTTTCAATGAGGAGAGGTGACTATTGAGATTGATATGTTAGGTGCTGTTAACTTTGAATTTGCGTGTTACATATAAACAAGGGTCTGAGAGGCAACCACCTTTCAGGGCAGAAGAGATGGGAAGCGTCACAGGAACAGAAAAAAAAAAAATAAAGAAACATTGGACTCAAAGTAGCCATTTTTTGTTTGTCTTATCAACATCAATTGTTACACGCTGACGATTGTAAGGAGCTGCAACTGAGAGGTTTTAAAAAGGTTTAATGTGGAAAGATCATTCCGAAATTTCTAGGCTCTCGTACCACACCCTGACTATAAAAATGTAAATTAAAGTTGCTGTTTTTTTTTTGTTTTTTGGTGAAGAGTGATAATTAGTTGGGGAAAAGAGAGACCACAATGGGATTCAAAGTTCCAAACACGAAATCTTTATGCTAACCACGCAAAAGGAGCGCTGATAAAAAAAAAAAAAAAACGAAACCACGCAAAAGGAGCGATGCGAGTGAAAATAATCGTAACAAATGTTACTCCACATTAGCTATTGTTGTTTCAAAAGGAGCTGTTAAATCTTACTCCAAATGGTTGTAAGCAACTTTGGTAATAATTTTGACTAGGACTATGATTTCAATCTCCACTTACCCTGGAACTCATAAACTCTTAGTCATAAGTCATAACCCACCTTATGGAACCTTTATGGCTTAATTAAAGGTTGTAGAATCCTGATGTTTACCTTTCCAAATCAAAATGTCATTACTTTCTTGCTTATATCTTTTCTTCAGAAAAGCATCTCATATAACGTATTGATTAAGAAATTAAGGCAATGGAAACAACACGGAAATTCCAGTCCCTTAATAGGGAGAACGAAACAGATGAAGCAAACTATCTAGAAGGAAAAAAGAAACAGTCAAAAAGAAATGCTAAGTTTTTTTTTATTATTATTATTTTGGGCCAATAACAGGAATGTCTGGTCGAGGCGGTACTAATTGATACATGTCAGTGTAATAGAGCACAAAAGATCCTGAATACTACCCTTTTTAGTAAATAATTGAGAATTCATCACCAATATATTTATTTGCGCCCTAGTAATATTTGTATGGTGAATTATTTAAATAATTTAATAATAAATATTTTTAATAAAATTAAAAGATCTTAAATTTAAATTATATGATATATATAAGTATGGTAAGTTAAAAAGAAAAAAATGATTGCTTTTTATTATATAATTTAAGATTAAAAAAGAAAAAAAAAACACATTTATACATATTTTATTTAAATTATCATTCCAAGTTTTCATACTTCAATCTAGTTTTGGAAGGAAAATAGTCTGCTCATCCAAAGAAGAAGAATTGAAGAAGAAGGGCAAGAAAAGGTAATGATCATAATACAAAAAAATAACTGGTCTTTAAGCTATCTTGGCTCTAGCTCTGTAATTGAAACTTCATTTATTGAGGCCAAGGCACTTTCATTACTAGGTTGATGGGATTGAGTTGCTTCCAAGTTGAAACCTTGGGGAGATGCCGGCACCATGCCTGACTCGCTGTACATGCAAAATGAAGGACGTGAGGGAGTTGGGAGTATCTCCGAGTCGCTAGTAAGCATTACAACAATTGAACTTATGGTTGGTCTCCTTGCTGCATTTTCTTGGACACAAAGTAACCCAATATGGATGCACCTCAGAATTTCAGTTGTTGAGTCCTCACTCAAATTAGGATCCATGATATTCAGTGGCGTTCCTTCCCTCCAATTTCTCCAGGCCTGTAGGGAGAATAAAATCAAAGACTAATCTTTTAAAAATGTTCAATTTCCTACACATTCACCTCATATACGTACCACACTTGTAAGGTTTGTGGCATTGTCTTCATGACAATTATGATTAATCTTTTGACCACTCACAATTTCCAAAATTAGTACACCAAAACTATAAACATCTGTCTTAACTGAAAGTTGTCCTTGCAAGACATATTCTGGAGCCATATATCCACTGTAATTTGACATTTAAAAGAAATGTCACCAAATAGGTACACAAAGGGTGCTAGCAACAAAATAGCGTGAAGTAATTTTGATATGTACTTACTAGGTTCCAACAACTTTATTTGTTTTATCTTGAGTTTGATCAACAACAAACAATCTTGCCATACCAAAATCTGAAATCTTTGGATTCATATCTTCATCTAGTAAAATATTGCCAGCTTTTAAGTCACGATGAATAATTCGAAGTCGAGAATCTTCATGAAGGTAAAGTAACCCTTTAGCAATGCCTCCTATGATTTTGTAACGTGTTTCCCAATGAACTTGTGTGCGCCTGATTGGATCTACATAATAGTAACACACAAACATATATATATATATATATCACATGATTTTTCATTGTAGATGAATTTATTGTGAATATAATTTAAAGTTGACCAGACTGAGATAAATATTACCAAATAAGAAGCGGTCAAGACTCGAATTGGGCACAAACTCATAAATGAGTAGCCTTTCCTTCCCTTCTAAGCAAAAGCCATGTAGCTTAACCAAATTCCTGTGTTGTAGCCTAGCCACTAATTGAACCTCATTCTTGAATTCTAGATCTCCTTGTTCAGAACTCATTGATAACCTTTTGACAGCTATTTCTTGTCCATTGGCCAACCTACCCTGAAATTATATCAAAGCGTATAAATACCTTAGTCAGCGGTTTTTCAATTAGGACTGACTAAAAAATGCCCTGAGCCCAACCCAAACTAAAAATTGTTTTCCGTAAAAGATAATAATTGATACATCTTAATTCAACATATATTTTTAAAAATATTATTTTCAAATATGAATTTAAGGTAAAAAATTTTCAATCATAAAATTTAATAATTGAACTAGTTAATGTTGGTAGACATATTAAACCAGAGAATATATTATCATTTCTTTCTATAAAATATTAATTTAATCTAAACCAGTAAATAGTAATTAATCTTGTTTCTTAACTAAAATTCCTATTTTCTTCCAGAATAAATGGTAATTAAAACTATTTATTTACCTTATAAACTGCACCAAATCCACCTTGTCCGAGTTTGTTTTCATCGGAAAACTTATTTGTTGCATCTCTAATGGTGTTAAAATCAAATTGTAGTGACTCCACACTTTCGATTTCATCAACAGCTTCAGCTTCATCAACAGCTTCAGCTTCTTCACAGGCATAGCCAAATAAGTGATTTTAGACAGGCAGAAGAACGTATTCATAATTGATTTTCACTCAAACATTCCAAAAGTAACAAAAAAAAAAATCAGATTAATTGACTAGACTTGGACTTACCATGAAATTTCTTCTCTGATTTTGTCACCCTGAAAATGATACAGATGCAGATGGAGATAAGAAGTATGAAACCGACCGTAGAAATGACTATGATGACAGTGGTGGTGGGGCTAGATGATTTATTTGAGGGTGGAGAAGATAGCCGTGGTGGACCTGGCGGTGGTGGTGGTGGTGGTGGTGATGGCGACGAAGACGGTACATCAGCAACAGAAGCATTATAGAATAGAAAGTCATCGAACCGAACAGTACAACTAGGCCCAAATATTTTACCTCCTCGCCGGCCCTCACAACATCTTGGAATTCTTTCAAAAGCCTGAGACAAGCAAGAGCCGCACTGAAGCTGGGACAAATCAGGAGTGCACTGTACCAGTGCATAAATGGCGTCTGATGGAGTAGCCATTCTCATCCCGGTCGCAAACTTCTTAAAAGAACCCCCCTTCTCCGCCTTGTTTCTCAGGCTTTCCAACAGAATCGTCTGTGCATCACTGAAAGCATTAAGATCCTTAGCTACAGCCCCTTCTCCCCATCGAAAGAAGCCCTTAGTGTCCCGAACGCCAAGGATAGAATTATCCGAGTACCGCAACATGCAATTGTCATAATATTGACCTGCTTCCTTCGTGAGACAAATATCTCTAAGCTCATTGGCAGCATCATTGATACATCGAAGGCAAACATCAGGCTTGACATCGCCTCTACACATGGCGATTCCGCTAACTTGGTTAGGGATTTTGCCATTGGAGACATTGTAGAACCCATGGTCGTAATTTGAGATATCTGTAAATGAGGAGAGGAGACTATTGAGGTTGGTATGGTAGGTGCTGTTAGCGCTGAAGTTACCTGTGCCATATAAACAGGGGTCAGCGAGCCAGCCACCTTGCAGGGCAGAAGAAAGGGGAAGCATCACATAAACTAAAAAATAAAAAAACATCGGACTCAAAGTAGCCTTTTTTTTTTTTTTTTCTTACCAATATCATTTGTTACACTGACGATTTTATATAAGGAGCTCCAACTCCAGGGTTTTAAGAGGTTTAATGTGGAAAGACCATCCGATATTTCTACGCTCTCGTACCACACTACCACCCTCACTACAAAAAAGTAAATTAAAGTTGTTATTCCCAAAAAAAAAAAAGTAAATTAAAGTGGCCCTTTTTTTTTTAGAGTGGTAATTGGTTGGGGAAAAGAGAAACCACAATGGGATTCAAAGTTTCAAACAAGAAATCTTTATGCTAACCACGCTAAAGGAGCGAGTGAAAATAATTGTAGCAAATTATTCCACTTGTTAACTATCATAAAATAATTATAATTTTTTAACTCAAAATTTACTAAAATTTGTTGAAATTACATATTCGAAAACAGTTTTTAATCAATAGGAAATTTTGTCTCTTATATTAGAAATTCTATTAGTTATACCTATAATCAACAAATATAATTGATAGAAAAAATTGTTGAATAAATGTGTGTCAAAAATAAATATGGAAAATAATTGACACACTCTTGGTTCAACACATTTTTTGACACATTTTTTGACATACTTTCAGTTAAGTCACTAAAAATATAATATAAATACAGTTAATTCAACCGGTTCTTATATCCTGTATGTATGATTATATCATTAAACTTATCTGTCTTTAATTTTAGACTAAAAAATGGTGATTTTTTTAATGAGTGTGTCATGCAGTGTGTTGAATTGGAGTGTGTACCGATCACTGTCCAATAAATATAATCGACAGACATAGCTGTCGATTATGTTGATATCTAATTTTAAAAAAATTTTAAAAAATGATTCTATATTTATTAATTAAATTATAAA